TTCGGATGAAGATTTCACGCCTTCGATAGAGTATTGATTCACATCGCATTGAAGTCGCTGGACCCACATAGCTTGCAGACGAATAAAGTGCATTTATATGCATTTTGAGTTGTTTTGACAGTTCTAGGGCACAGTAAACCAAAATCTCATTACAGTCATGTTTGATTCGTTGCTCCAGTTTTCAGGTTCCCGCATCTCGGAGGAACCTGCATTGTTTTTCCATGGCCCAAAAGGATGGAATCGCGTCATTGCTAAAAAAAAAAAAAGCTAGCCTGAGAGAGAGAAACAGAGAGAGAGTGAAAGAACCGAGAGAAGTAACCTCGCTGCCATTGTTGTTCTATCGGGCTCAAAATTTCGCAGCCTTTTCCCGCCCATCGGTCAGTAACAAAGGCGAACTTCGTATTGTTTTCGGCCGCAATGAAAGCATTACTGGCGTGCACAGCTTCGCATCGCACAAAGGCGAGGCGGCGCTACCAGGCGAATGGCTCATTACGCCAAGTCTGTCGAAGGCGCTCCGCCAAAGGATTTCATAACAATGAGCGGAGGCACGCAAAATTGGTGCGCATACAAAGGACTCATCCCTCCCTTCCCGCCACAGGAGGCCGGAACAGCCTGTTTATTGGCCTGGACCCATAGAGAAGTCGCAACAGTGCTGCAATTTATACAATCGCTACCCATTTCGGGACTATGGCGACATCCTACGGGATGTCGCCATAGTTCCCCATTGCAAACAGACGCGTATATTGGCTGACAAATTGAAGGGCCGCAAGTGACGATGAACGGAGCCGCAACTCCGGCGCTATAGCAAGTATTTCTCAGTGCACACGAGATTCGGATGTGTGGTTGGTTAACACTTCTGCTTCTCTAAAAAAGCGGACCTATTTTGTGGACACTTTTGTTTTGTCCCGCGGTGCAAAGGCTCCAAAGATAATTTGGGCACATGTTCGTCTTGAAGATTGGTTCTATTACTGCGTTAATTCAGTGTTCGTTTGCTTAATACCATGTTGAAGCACTGTGTGGCGCAACTATAAAAAATCGGCTGGAGATTTTGGGGCCATATATAGTTCCAAAGGTATAATAAATACAAAGACCAACTTCACGAAGACGACCTTGTAGAACGGTAAACAATGGTGTTACCGGTATTTTTTCTTAAGCACTGGCATTTTCTACTTGTTTTTTTGCAGAGTATTCATGTCGGCATGGCCTATATTACGCAGCTGCTCAGTAACTGTATAGTGCAAGCGTGCAGTAAGCAAAAGTGCGGTGTAGATTGGAAACACTACAGAAATATCTGGAATGACTAAGCTAGTTCTTGTGACTCGTAAGGTAATAAGTCATTAGCTTCACAGCTCATGCGAAGGCGTGCTATATAGTGTGGGAAGGTTGTTCAGGAAGTGCTATATAGTTAGATGTTTGAAGACTGCGGTGCCTTCCATGAGGTCATATCTCGCGACGCATCAAACGTGAAACTACAAAGGAATTGTAAAGTACGGCAAAAAACGTGTCACTGATGCAGAGAACCAGATCAGCTTGCAAATAGGCTACCATTTAGCCTCCAGGAGCTGTCGCCAGCAACTGGTGGAGTAAATGATGTCTATTCGAAGTTTCGCTTGTCATTCCTGCTTGTGACTTCAAGCGGCTCGGCGCGCACCCTTATAGCGCACTTTTATTGATGGAAGAGGATCTAAAGAGCGGAACGAAAGAAAGAAAAAAAAAAAGCCGAAAACGCTTTGGTCATTTGCTCCGAGACGACAGTACAAGAAGCTCTCTTTTAGGCGCCGCCGCTCTCGCCACATTCCCTGTTAGCTCTTCTATCGCGCTGCGCCGTAATGGGCTGGCTTATGAAAATATTTTTCGATAGGCGGGATTGAGAAACTTTCTGCCAGAGCTCACCGCGGAAGTGCTTAATGAATCCGAGTGAAAAATGACTTGGAAACGACTTTACGCATCTTCGTTATACACGGCATCGCTGGCGCCGTTTTGTGGAGGCTTTGGCCACGCCGGTTTGTGAAAATCGTAGGGCTAGAAGGTGAAAATAAGCAAGAGAAAAAAACTAGACAAGCCCGTTCCATACGAGTTTTCTATATAGTTGGGCGGGCTGTGCCAGCGTGTGCTTCGCGCATCTCGGTTTCCTAATTGATTACTTTTAGACCATGTATGATTCCGAAAGCGGAATCACGCACACAGATCGAAGACATTTGCCTGGAGTGGTCGAATGAAGCGTGCAACGTTCTGGCGACACCTTCCGTGTTTGGAACGAGCTGGCCAAGATCACCTTGAATGTGTATGCGACATGCGCGCGCGGTACCTAACCCGATACGTGCAGGCACGCGCGTTTTACTTCTTGAAAGTGGTGGTTGTCACTCTGCAATGATGCTGGACCCGCCGTGGATGTGCTTGCATGCAGACGACATAGAAGCCTGCGCTTGGATAATGCCGTGCATGATTGGCGCGCTTTTTCTCACTAGATCAGGCGAAGCAAGTGCAGTCGTAGGCCAATTTGCGAGATGCCGGATCGCCGTTCGACAGCTGCCTTTTGCGCGTGTCAAATCTATAGCGTGCTTTGATACGCGCTCATCAAGGCTTCCCAAGCGCGCATCGAGGCAACCTGTAGTCGAAGCTACGCTAGACCCTCACTAAGCGCATGCACGTCCTACATTCAACCAATCGGCGAACAGGCAGGTAAATTAGGTAATATAGGACGCGCATGCTCCGAATAATCATCCAGCATATCCTCGACGCCCCAGCTACGTCGCATACCGTCTCTGTGGCAGCTTTTGAACGAAGCTCTATTTCGCAAAAGTTTGTCCGTCACTGCACAGTCTCGATGCAGTCCACTCGACTACTTTAACTTCATGGATATGTGATTCGGTCCGCCCATCAGTTAGAGAACACGCCGCATATCGTGTTTTTGCGTAATTGTTGAAAAAAAAAACAAGCGTTCCTTCAAGACAGACGCGTAGACAAAAAGGTTTTGTTTTAGGTATTGTGGCGAGGAGTGAAGCTCCCCCTTGAAAGTAATTTTTCTCTCTGTACGACATGGTGAAAAAAATTCCGGAGGGGGGTGGGGTCAGTGGCCACAGGCCTTGTGTACCAGCCCCTGGCTGCGCCACTGCTACAAGGCGTTGATTATATACGAAATTAGGAAAGCAAATGCGCTTGCTAAACGTGCGCATTTCACTTATAATAGAGTTTTATGCTGATCAGTTAGCAGCATGTCCAACATGATTACATAGTAAGCATCACAGTCAATTAGCGAGACCCAAAGTTTTTGGATGCCTAGAGCAATTTAACGTGCACTCCGCTTTTGCATTTTTACCCGGGTGGAAATCGAACCCACGTCTTCAGTAGTAAAACTTTATGACGGTAAGCTACCATGGCTGAGAACTATGAGAATACAACAACGGCGAAAGTGCCATACTTTGGATCCGTGTTTATGCGTCATACGCGTATGCAGGTTGGCAGGGCAGCCGCTCCTGGGATGCCCATCATCGTTTTTTTTTTGTTAGACGTGCTTTTTTGTGAAAGAGACTGACCGAAATATTCCGTGATGCGCGAGAATCAGCTTACCGCGTTTTTGAAAGTAGAGCGACAAAAAAGAAATGGCGCGAGCCGTGCAGTCTCGTATTTCTCGCGTACTGGAGAGCCGTATTGCGGTCATGTGAGAAAGGGAAAAAAATAGTGCACTCTTCAACTGCTCACGAAATTTGAGCAAGCACTTGTGCCACTGTTTTCTCCCTTTTATGAGCTCCTTTTTCTTCTCAGCGAAAACTTGTTTCTCGCGGAGGAAACTTTTGAAAACGAACCTCCGACTTTGCAGCGCACCATGAAGGAAGGCTTCACTTAAAGAGGGCGGCTGTAGTAGTTTCTTAACACATTTATAACCGTTGTTTGATGATATTTAATGAGAGTAAAGACTCAGCCCGGTCTATCGCTGGATGCAATTTTAAAAGCGTGTCTCGCTTATGGCTTGCGTGCTTAACTTACTCCATCGTGGGGTGACTCATGTAAGGTGATTTCTTTTCACGTGATTGCAGTATTGCACAGCTTTCAGTAGTTCACTTGTTACTTACCATAGGTCATCAAGAAAAGTTGAACTCACTCAGACTCACTCAAGAAAGAAATCCAGCGCTTTGGACTCACTCGGACTCGTTTGCCAAAATTTTCTTGAGCCGGACTCACTCGGACTTAGACTCGCCAAAGTATTACTCACCCGGACTCTCTCATACGCGGACTCACGGCTCAATGAGAGCCTGAGTGATTCCGAGTCAGTCTATAAATCCAGAATTAACTTGTTGGACGGCCCTTTAAAAGTAAGATTTGGCGCAATCGGTTCTCTTCTTGGTGCCTTTCGATATAGTACCCTTCGAATACGAGTCATGAGTAGTTAAAAACGAGTAACGATATTTTTATTAAAAGGGATGAAAATTTAAGAATATTTATCAAAAATATCTCGGGAAGAGTTGGCGGGTGAAGGGGGCGGGGTCTGGGCAAGCTTACGTAATTCACGCTTCTGATCAACCAATATTGGAACGGTGTATGAGTGGTACTACATTGGACAACGTGTCAGTAGACACAGTATGAACGGGATTTAAAGTAAGGCAGATAGAACGTACAACTGTGCATATCTTTCCGAAAATTTACTTCACTCGTGCAAAACATATTATCAAAGGACAAAACTCTGTTATCGGTACCGTAAGTGATGAAAATCAACACACTAGGCTTTGGGGTGTTTTTGTCCATGGTACACTACAGCCATTATTAGGTTAGGTCTGCATGTTGTGGTTACTCTCGTGTTCTATTCGGTCTTGAGGAAGCGTGATGCATAGATTATTAGTTGTCAGATAGATTAGAAAAAGTAATCGATGCTGTAGCACCTGTGTTGAAATAAGTACAGTGTGTTGGGTTTTCGTGATCACGATTATGCTAGAAACTGCACTTTCGATGAAAATTTGCAGGCACGCCTATCTAAACTAACATATGTCGCTGTTTTGTTTCAGGTTCCACTATGGCTAGGCCGGCCATGGAGCGAGGATGCTCGCGAGTGTGCGTCATACTGCTGTACCTGATTGGCATGCTGCTCATCATAGCCGGTGCCGTCGCGGGCGGCTTCATCGTTAACTACCCCGACATCCTCTTCTATCTGGCCATCGCGTCCGGGTCATCTATTGTGCTCGGAATTGTCTTTGTGTCGTTGTCCGCCTGTGTTTGCACGAGACGCAGGCCACCGCCCTCCAAGGATGCTCAGCGGAAGTTCACCGCGCCAACATCGAACGGAGTGAAGGGCAGCTTGAGTACCGACTTCAAGGAGGCGTCCGTAAGCTCGCGAGAAGATCTGATTGGCTCGGCATCATCTTCGCGGCCCAGTGACGGAATGTTGAACGTCGCGCTTGAGAAGGGCGAGTTCTTTCACAATGCTTCAATCGACACGTCCAACTCCAAAAAGGCGCTACAGAAACCCGTGACCAGCTCGCCGAGGACAACGAAGTCAAAACTCGTTCGTGAGGATGCTGTGTTCCCCGAGCCGCCCAAGGTAGCGGAAATCCCTCTTGCCCATCGTTCGCAACCAGACAGTCTCCGAAAGGCAAAGGCTAAAAATGGCAAGCTTCCCAAGTCCCCGGCAAGTGTCGGTGACTTTGCCTCATTGGGTTTTCAAGACGAAGATGGTGTCTTTGGGGTGCCGGATGCTAAGGGCAAGCCCAGCGTCAAAGGACGAGGAAAGGTGCCGTTGACGGCGTTCAAGCAGACGTCGAAGTCTGTTTCAGACCTGGACGACGAATCGTCTTTCGATTCTACCACGCGGGCTCCCCAGCAGCGCACTGCAACGACCCGTCCTGAAACACCGCAGATGGAGCCTCGGCTGGCCGTCAGCTGCCACAACATTCTAAGCGAGGAACCTGTGCGCGTGGGCATCGCCCACCTGCGGCAGCGCGAGGACACGGTGGCCAGGAAACCTCCGGTGCCGCGCAAGGTGACCGGTATCGCGCTGCCAGGCATGGTTCAGCGCGCGGCCCCAGCCGGTTCGTCGTCGCAGAGCCAAGACGACCTCAGCCGCGTTCGCCTGAAACCAGCTGACCAGAAGCCTCGAGGTTCGCTGCACGACCACGGGTCGGAGGACGGCAAACAAAAGCTTCAGCATAAGTCTGTGCCAGACTTTTTCCTGCAGGACGGCAGCGCCAAGCTCACTCTGCTGGACAGCAGTTCCAGTTCCTACGGCAAGTCGAGCCGAACCACGGCGCCATCTTCCGAGACGCCGCTCAACACGTCGCTGACATCGTATGCGGAGCCAGTTGGGCCCGAGGACCTGCACAGGTGCAATACAGTGGGGCTGCCGCCTGCTCCACTTCCGAAGCCGACGACGAGTGGACAGCAGTTCCGCTTGTACACGCCCAAGGAGGACGCCCTTGTGATGGACAAACAGCCTTTGATGGCTGACTGGGCGGCTAGTGTTTCTTCCAAAAGCGACACATTTTCTAGTGACGAGGCGGAATGCCAGAGACAGCTAAGCTCGTCCCAAGAGCTTCTTATGGGAGGGGTTAAATGTCTGGAGACTGAAATATAGTTTTACGTGTGCGTTTCCGACGATGAAGGAGTTTTGTTGTGCCCTTTGATGAATAGCTAGTGGACGTTTAGTTGACTCCTGGTTTGATACGCCCACGAGACTGCCAAATGCAACCTATGGTCGCGGAAATTAAAGTGTGGTGATATTAGAATAGTCCCCGCGAGTCATGTTTTTCATCTCAGCTTTTTGCGGTGATTAATTACACACGTAAAATCACAAATGGTGACAAGTACAAACTTCAGTCATGAAGGTTCAACGCCTTTATATAACATTTTCCTAACCGACCCAGAGCTCTTGTAGTTGGTGTGCCTGAGTGCCTATGTGTCTAAACTTCAGCATTTTTTCTACTAGCCTTGCGGTGCGTGTGGCTGCAAACTGAAGAATGTTGGCAAAGTGGAAAACTGCGGCAGAATGGAAGTGCTTGGTAGCCCTAGGTTCGCGGGCTGGTGCTTATTCACTATAATATATATATATATATATATATATATATATATATATATATATATATATATATATATATATATATATATATATATATATATAGTCGCTCTTGTGCTTTCTGCTGCCACGTTGTCGTAATCTTTTTAATTTTTTTCGGCCCACCTAACTTTCTGTCTCCCCTTCGTGCGTTTGCGTGCTCTGGAATCTATTCAGTTACCCTTAATGGCCAGTGGTTGTTCTGCGTACGTGCTATGTGCCCGAGCATTGTCCATTTCTTTTTGTTGATTTCAACTATAGTATCCGTAAGCCCGGTTTGTTCCCTCACCCTCTCTGATCTCTTCTTGTCTCTTAAAGGGACACTTGAGTCAACTATTAAGTCGACGCCGATTGTTGAAATGGCGGTCCAGAAACCTCGTAGTGTTACTTTTGTGCCAAGGAAGGGCCTCTTTTGAAATAGTTACGTTTTAGTGCTCCGCATCGGATTAGCGCACTTAAAATTACCTGCCTCAAAAGCGGACCAACCTGACCGACTCTCGTCACTGTAGCCGTGCACAACGTCGTCCGGCTTTACTGCGCTTGTAGCCACAGACTGAAAGCAGCGGGAGCCATAGCAGCAACAACGACCGGTGATTAATTTCCCACCGATGGCTTCGAGATTGCAGACGCTTTCGTTTTAACTGCGCCCCAATAGATGACCCCCCCCCCCCCCCCCCCTGTCCCGTGTAACCACGCGAAAATAGAGTTTTTGAACCTTTCGTGCCATTTCCCATAATAACGTCCGGTGGTTCTTTTTTCCATCAATCAAACAGAAAAGAACAAGCAGCCTTTTATTGCGTCTCTTGATGCAAGGAAGCCTCTTTATTTAGTTCAGTTGGATCGATTACTAGTGATGAAATGTAGGTGGTCTGTCTGATGTCATCGGGAACATTTGGAAAATATCCTTCTGCGGCGCTTGTGTCCTTAATTTCTCGGTAAGTAGGGCGCTGTTGTTGATAATATTGTCGTTTTAGATGTCATCAATGGAGCTTTCACTCTGACGTAAATTGTTATTTGACTTTAGTGTTTATTTAAGGTTCCGCCTATCATTTGCCTTTCCATCGCTCACTGCGTCGTCTTCAGTTTAAGCTGAACCCTCTTTATAAGCCTCCAGGTTCCTGCTCTGTAGATAAGTACCAGCAAGATACAGCTGCTTTATCTCTTCCTCTTGAGGGTTAGTGGCAGATTAGCATTCATGATTTGATAGTGCTTGCCGAGTGTGATCCACCCTATCCTTATTCTTCTACTCATGTCACTTTCATGCTCCCGCTTCGCGGTTACTACTTGTCCTAATTAAACATATTCGTTTACAACTTCCAGCGTCTCTCCACCTATCGCAAAGAGGTGTTTTTGTCGAGGCTGTTGCACATTTTTTTTTAGTTTTATGCAGAATATTTTCAGGCTTGATCTTCTGCTTTCCGTGTCCAGTACAGTAATCATAAGCTGTAATTCGTCCTATGAGGTACTCATCAAAGCAATGTCATCAGCGAGTCGCAGATTACTAAGATACTCTCCATTAACTCTTATCCCTAACTCTTCCCAGTGTAGGGCTCTGAAAGCCTCCTGTAAACACATGGTGAATGGCATTGGAGAGATCGTGTATCCCTGCCTTACACCATTTTTTATTGGGATTCTGTCGCTTTCTTTATGGAGCACTATCGTGGCTGCGGATGCACTGTGGATTTCTACCAGTATTTTCATGTAGGGTTCGTCGATACCCTGATTCTGTAGTGCCTGCATTACTGCTTATGTCTCGACTGAGTCGAACGCCTTCTCGTAATCTATGAAGGCTACGTATAGGCGTTGGTTTTATTCCGCGCATTTTTTTGTTGTTATGTGGGGTTTAACGTCCCAAAACCACTATACGATTATGAGAGACGCCGTAGTGGAGGGCTCCGGAAATTTCGACCACCTGGGGTTCTTTAACGTGACCCAAATTTGAGCACACGGGCCTACAACATTTCCGCCTCCATAGGAAATGCATCCGCCGCAGCCGGGATTCGAACCCGCGACCGGCGGGTCAGCAGCCGAGTACCATAGCCACTAGACCACCACGGCGGGGCTCCGCGCATTTCTCTATAACCTGATCGATAGAAGGAGAATGATCTATTATGAAGTAGCCTGTACGAAATCCCACTTGGTCTTTTAGTTGATCACTCTAATGTAGTCATGATTTTATAGGGTATTATTTTGTAAATAGCTAATATTTATTTTGTGACATACTGCAGGCCCAGGTAAAGACCAAAGCAGGAGGCGCATGGAAAGTACAAACCTATAATAACAAGAGGGAAACAACGTTGTAAGTATGGAACGAAAAAAGATTGCAAAACTTGCCGTTTGAACTTCCAAGGAGGTACTTCACGGTGGCTGACGCTCCCCCACCCGCTCTTCAACCAACCACCTTCTTGGACGCTAGCGCCCCGCAGCGAGATCAGGCGCATAGTCGTTTGCGTTTCTTTTCTAAAGAGGTTTGCTCATTGGTTGTATTCGTACACGGAACAACTGTAGTTTTTTTTTTAAAATATCAGCATTCCTTGCACGTTTTTTTCTGCGTTAAGGCACGCGAGCGGAGAATGGAACAATCCGATCGGATGGGGAAGGTATACAGAAACCCCGAGGCACTGCGCCGACAAAAGTAAAAATTTAATAGCCCCACAAAACTACGTTTTGGAACCCACACATGAGCCTTAATCACAAGTAAGAGTATTCATTTAACTTGCAATTGAAGGTACCGTATACGGTAGCCGAGACTTCGGGACGGGCTTGCGTCAAACTTAAAGCCTATTCCGATGTTCGTGTCGTGTGCCACACTACACCGCTTTATTTGCTTCGAAGCCTGAGACAGTTGCAGATGTTCCGCATAAAAGATGAATGTTAGTTACTGTTTGCGAATGAGCAAGAAAATACGTGGAACAATCGTTTGATGCGGTGGTGCAAGCCATTTTAAAGCGATGCGGCGAATCTAATGCCGGTTATGCCGGTTTACGACAGCAGAAACCATCATGATAATGAACGTATATGAGATGTCAAAAGCTGACAATTCAAGTCGAATGCCTAATGGAACTAGTGAAGCTACGCTCAAGAAGCCACTAATTGCTGATTATTCAGTCAACTCCAATTAATATCAATTGGGTATAAGAGTAACTAAGTTGTGTTATTGAACCAGACCCACCCGCTATATTTGACGTTCATGTAGCTTAATTATGCTAATACTAATTAGGCTAATGGCTTAGCCAAGATAAATATAGTCCAATCAAACTAAGTACAGTTGGGTACGGTATATTATGATTGTTTATCATAATGAAGTGTAAGTGTAATCTAGGCCCCATATTTGCAAATCGAAATCGCAATGAAGTTAGCAAAGCCAAGCTGGACTAATTGCTACTTACCGAGTCGTACCAAATCCAAGTAAGTCTAATTAATGCTACCCAGAGTCAGTTAGTTATATGTTATTGAACAAAGCCAACTCTATAGATACTTCTTTCATGTGGCCTTATCATGCTAAACAATCTAAGCAAAATGGAGATTTAGCCAAGCTGGTACTTGTTAGGAGGCGACCATGGTCCTCTGTCTGTTAAGCCCTGTTGCCCGATCGCAAGCTGCCTATATTTTTATTTTCATATTCAGGTGAAGCTGTTGGATCCACGCTCACGTGTTCAGTCGTCTGATTAAGGTGCTTACGAATGGCAAGTCATGAAATAATTTGATTATCACTACAGAGGAATGCACGTATTCCATGAGACTTTACGTTGTTCTATTTTCCCACAATATGCAAAGTGCTGCTGTACTGATGCATAGGCCTTCTAATTGAACTTATAACTGCGCAGGTCCCGAAAATAGCATGGTCGCCTGAGCTATTTTTGTTCTCTGCAGTACTTGAATGTGGCAATGTCCGGAGCCGACAACGAAGATCGATCGTTAACATTACCAATAATTGATATTGACAGCTTTAGCTGAGCACTTGCTGTCCGTTCAGCTGGAAAAATTGTTTTCTTATTTCTAATGTAGGCGAACTAATTGAGTGACATGTGATGGTATTGTCACATAGTTTTGGTGCACATGCCTAAACCTGAATAGAAATTGCCATTCAACTAGCTGACTGGAATAGTTTGTTCATTTTAATGAACTTACAATCATGTATGGAGTGATCGTTCTTCACTGCAGGTGCGAATCCCTTGTACGCAGAACTGATCTTGCTCGACTGAAGCACTACAGATCGCAGTAACATCGACACGCAATGAATAAATTGAGCTACTGTCGGACTTCTTACTGATGTAGATCAATGGTGATTATATGAGGGAAATTCAGTCATGATAATGTTGTGGTCAAGAGTAAGTGTAGTGCACCTTATATAGTGACAATTAGATAAGGTACGAAACGTATTGAGCTCGAAAGCATTACTGCCTTTGTGACGTGCAGGAACTACGAGATCCATAGGATGTGGTATTGCTCTTGCAGGATCTTCCACAGAGCGCCTGGCGCAACTGTGGTAAGAAAGTAAAGTTAGGATAAACAAAGCACGGTGCCATAAAAGGAGGTGCTTTGGCCGCACGTCGTTTCTTAGCCTTTTTGTGGCGCTAGAAGCTCTGTCCCGCAAGTAGAAGCTTCAAATGTATGTAGCCGTCGAGTTGGCAGCGCAAACGCATTGCATTCCTCAACTACGAAGCGCTGTCATCTCC